CCCCAAAACCCCAAAACCCCAAAACCCCTTAGGAGATATTTAGAATTGGAATAATCAATTATTATGATAATTCTCAAAGAAAAGATGAGTGGAAGCGTGGTATTATGGGTTATTTGGGTTTGATGGATGATTTAGAACTCTAGGGTTTTTGGAAAGTTGAAATTTGAAAGAGAGAAAGTGAATTTAATAATTTTTTAGAGGATGGAAATTTAGTGGAGTTGGTGAGGGTTTTTAAGCTCGAATGTGCGGAAAATAGGGTTATTATTTCTGTCCAGATTGTTTCGAGAGAATGGCTGTTTTATCATTTTTCCAAAATCATGGTTATTATTGATATCTAAAGTCTCTGGATGAACTCCGACACCAATAGCTTCATTCCTACTTCTTGTCCTGTGAGGAATATTAACTTTTATAGGAGAATCACCAGAATGATTAGATTCATATCGAGTTGCAGAATACATTGACATAGGTACATTCTTAGTATTTTCCTCTTCTTCCTCCTCAATAATAACATCTTCTTGATGCAAAGTTCGTCTTATGCTTTGTTTCTCCATAAATTTTCTGAAATTATCATCCGATTCTTCCTTAATCTCATAGAGATATTGATTAAGTACAAATCTTTCTTTCTTGGATGGCTGCTTCTGATTTCCGAGCAGAGATACCAGAGAGCTACATCTGGGGATATCATCTCTGATACTCTTACGCTTAGCTGGGAGACTTGTGATTGAAGCGTTCTTGGCCAAATCCTTTGCTATAAAGTTACATTTAAGCTCTACTGCTGGTCATATTTGAAAGACTTTCTTCGCACCATAGAGACTGTGTCTTTTCAGAAACCTCTTCCTCAGTTGGCTCAGGAATAGAGTCGTACTTAGCATCCCTCATCATATTGTATGTAAAAATCCCCCCTACAGGTTAGGCTTCAGAAATACCTGAGCTTCCTTCTGTAGTGAAAATATGCTTCTTTTTCATTGAATATTTATTAAAATTCCTCATATGATTGCTCGCAGAGTTATAATTCATTTCTTCAAAGTTGATACTATTATACTTCGTATCTGTCGAGGACTTTTCGTCTAAAGAAGTCAGCTAAGGGCTTACAATTTTTCTCTTCTCATATGGAGTAATTCTCACTTTCTCTATATAGCCAAATCAGTAAAAATCTTACGTGAAGTCACTTGAAGCTTCGTTAAATTTGTACACAGATTCTTTGCATTTATTGAGTCCACTGCTGTTAAAAGATATTTTATCATTATGCTCTTTAGCTATGCTCACGGGTGTTGCAGAGGTCGATATCATTTGTGCCTGGGAAAGCTGTACAAGAGTATCTTTCAACTTATTCTTAGTTTTAGCAAGCTCTTTGCGGTACCACTCTATAGTATCGTATGCTTTCTTGAGGTCCTGTTCTAGCTCTACCTTATAAATTACAAAATTACAGTACCTTCTCATCAATTAGAGACTTGTTTTGTTTTTCAAGTCGATCTTTGATGAATTTCCATTTGTTAGCAATTTCTTCAAGCTGGCCTTTGTGGATCATCTCTGGACTAGCTGGTCTTTTCTTCCTAGGCTTCTTAATTTCCTTCTGTAGTCGTTTATGGAGGTTTATTTCTAGCCCTATACATACAGATTAGAGCTAATTCCTCCTGATCTTATTCAAGATCTTCAGGTGTATAAATAAGCATGAGAGACAGTTAAAAACACTTACTCCTGCTTGGCTCAATCACGTTATGTGAGCAATGATGGTCATAATTTTGAGGAGAAATCTGATGCATTTCAACTTCTTCATGGATTAGAGGCCGTGATTTCGACTCTTTTAAGCCATTATTTCTTGTCAAGTTTGAGCTATAAGGCAACTTTTAGAATTTCTCTGAGGAATTTAGATGATGTAAAACAGAAGTTATCTTAGATAATTTTATCAATTAATAAATTATTCCAAAGGATCTTGGCATTCTAGTATTGAAATTAGCGCTAAAAGCATAAACTTGAACCTACATAAAGGTTTTACTTATGAGATAAATATCACAAAAGAGGAGAAAATCTTCTAATTTCAAGAAAACAATGCAATATTTTGATAAAACTGACTATAAGCCTGGCGTTCTAACACCTTGTGTCTTACCAAGGCAAAAGGGTAATAATTAATGACAAAACTGCATAATTGCTAACATTCCAGGACCATATATTGCCAAACTAGCCAATATGACACTTATTTCTAGAATCTCATAAAGTGTCCTGCAAATACTGCATTGGGCGACTTTTGTCTATGGAGGAACATTGCCTGTCCATATAAATATTTGATTTGCAATACTACAGATTTATTAATACAATAAAGGATGAAACTTAGGCCAACCTGACTTCTTAGGCTATTGATAAATTTTCTCTGCTGGAACTTGAATAAACTGTTATTGCTGTTGAGGGAGGATTTAGACATTTTAAATTTATAATTCAATTGCTTAAATTATTTAAGGGGTTTTGGGGTTTTGGGGTTTTGGGGTTTTGGGG